ATTGAGTCAAGAAGATCCAGCGTTCAACATCCTAAACTGGAAACAATGTATTAAGAATACATCTGCGCCAGCCTAATAGATGAGGAAGGGGTGCGAGGCTGGTCAACAGATAGAATCTGTTTACCCCTTAAGTCTTTGCCTAGGAGGCCTTCTACAAGACAGCAGCTGGATGCATGTAACATCTGCCCAAGATGAGTATTTTTATCGAGACACCATCTCTAGCCTTTACTCAACCAAGAGCCCCAAGGCAGGGGGTGTTTTAATTCGGAGTTAACTTCTCCTAGCCTTTGCCTAAAAAAGCGTATCCTACAAGGCAGCAGGACATGGAGCAGGTTGTACTGGGTTACATGTGCATCCTTGCTGGTCCAAATGGTGCATCCTTGCTGGTCCAAAAGGTACACATTCTGTTTGTGTGTGTACAATACACCAAAATGTTAAATTAATGTTGAGTGCTGTAGGCCTTGAAACATCTTACCATGAAATCATTGAAAAGATTGTCTGCAGCAGAAAATCAAAAGTTTGCATGATTCACCAATGCAATAGTTGTCCTGGCATACAAGCTGCCCAAATTTATTTCCAGCAGTATCTCACACAAAATGATGATCCAAAAGAGCAACATGACAGTGACGAAAATGAACAGTCAGTGGATTTCAAACAGTGGACAACAACAGATAGAACTGAACTATTAACAATAAAACTTCCCTTAAATGAATTTATAGAGCTCCTGTGTGAAAAACATGATAAAATTACTTCTCATTCATTTATAGCAAAATCACAATCTAGCTATCTAAAGCATCTCAAAGAAACAATTAGTATTGATGAGGCTATTGCACTAGTAGATTTTGCAGAGAATTACACTTTTGTAATACAAGGCGAGATACAGAGTTACCATTGGAGCAAGAGTCAATGTTCTCTTCATCCAGTTGTCATCTACTACGAGAAAGTGAAATTAGAAATATCTTCTTGTGTAATTTCAGATGATTTGAATCATGATGTTGGATTTATCAATGAAGTTATGCATAAAACCATTAATCATATAAAAACTCATCTTTGCCCCGCAATTACAAAAATTCATTATTTTTCTGATGGCTGCGCAGGGCAGTATAAAAACTACAAACATTTTTAAAATTTATGTCACCATGCTCAAGATTTTTCTGTTCAGTGCATCTGGAATTTCTTTGCAACAAGCCATGACAAATCTCCATGTGATGTAATAGGTGGCACTGTTAAAAGGCTTGTTTCAACTGCTAGCTTGCAGAGTCCAACAACAGGTCAAATACTATCTTCTCAAGCAATGTTTGAAGACTGCTAAAAGTCAATCAGTGGGATTACGTTTGTGTACATCACTGCTGAAGAAATAGAGCTAGTAAGAATCAAACTTGCTGATAGACTATTAATAGCAACCACTATTCCTGGGACAAGAAGTTTCCATCAATTTAAATCTTCTTCTCATTTAATTACAAAAATGAAAAGGGTATCTGATTATGATGATTTTGCTATAACATTTGACTTCCTCAATAAACAAAAATACAAAATTAATAAAATTGAGAATGTTATGATGTCACAATGCCTATTTTGCAAATACAACGATTTTTACTGGCTTGGAATGGTTTCTAAAGTTGATAAAGAGAATGACGATTTTATGGTAAAGTTTATGCATCCAAATTATTCAAGTCGGTCGTACTACTGGTCAAAACGGGATGATAGTTGCTGGGTGCCTAGAATGAATGTCATTTCTCTTGTTAAAACAGCGTCAACATCTTCTGGGCAAAAAATCACAAAACTCTATTTGAACATCTTTTATCTTGTCAATGAAAGTTAATGAATATTTTACTTTCATTATTTAAATTATATAAACTTCAGTATATAGGGCGTCAGTAACACATCACAAAACTCTATTTGAACATCTTTTATCTTGTCAATGAAAGTTAATGAATATTTTACTTTCATTATTTAAATTATATAAACTTCAATTCATATTTGAATAATTCATATTTATATTCAATTCAATTCATATAAACTTCAATTCATAGTCATATTTGGTTTATTCTTTTTCCTTTTTATTTTTGAGCTTTTTTCAATAAAGCAGATTTATTACTATTTTTCAAAAAGGTTTGCATTTTAGTTTCTTATTTTTTAACACAACAATACCCTATTATTAGACATAAAGTAATAATGTTATGTTAAATTATTATAATTAATAAATATAAAAAATTACATTTTCAATGTGTTGTATAGTAAATTATATTTCCATGTATACTTTTGAAAATATTGATTATAAATATGCAAGTTACGCAAAGCATTATAATTTTTTAATTTTCTTTTAGAAACCTAAACTTTTTTAAGACCTCTCATTTCACAATAAGAGTAAGGCCAGAAATAAGGAAAGGTAAACCATGGTTAAGAAATAAAAAAAAAATTACTGTTGATATTTTAAAATTAAAAAATTATACTCAATTACTAGGAATAGGGTTCATTTATCTTTATCTTTGTATTCAATACCTTTAAAATTGGTCAGGTACCAATTTTCAGTCATATTTCTCCACTAGAACTTTAATTATTCACACAAAAAGTATCGCTATAAAGTCTATAATGGAGAATAGAGGCTAAAAAATGATTTTTTTTGTCTAAATTTCAAAATAACATATTTAATAATTCTTGAAGAAACCAAAACCATCTTTTTTATAACAATAGCCGTATCACCTACTTTGTTTGAAAAAAAAATTGAATCCACGAGACTTGGGCAACTCCGGGATTGATGAAAGCCCAACCCATGGTAACAGAACAAAAAGTTGGACTGACCATTTTAAAATCAAAAAATAACCATCATAAAATTTAAATTTCACTATTTGCTTTACATTTTTGAATTCAGCACCCTCAAAAATAGTCAGGTATTCATTTTTAGCCACATTCTTCCACTAGATTTTAAATTATACATTAAAAAGTACAACTACAAAATCCATAATGGTGGACTTGGCAAAAAAAGGAACGTTTTAGGCTGAATTTCAAAACACCATAACTTTTGAACCATTTGGATTTGGGAGCTCAAATTTTGCATGTTTCATTATAATCTACCACTGGGTAAAATTTAAAGAATATCCAAGAGGTGACTGAAATGACTGTCCTAGTTTTACATGGAATGACCCATAACTTCTATGACAAGCTTTTTTAAATAATGGTTCTGTTTGTTCCAACGAAGCATAGCTTTCCAAATAAACTGAATTTTTCTCTGAATGCCTCTTTGATAATGAAATTAAATGATTTTGGATTGCATTTTCTCAACAAAAGAAGATCACTTAGAGATATAAAGTCGGCATGATGAGCTGTATATGTTTCTCAGTTTCAAGGCATTTCTTTGGCAACAACAAAGTGAAGGACTAACATAAATAAAATTAATATATTATTTTAAATACTTGATTAAATCATCAACCATTTTTACATTGACACCTGTCTGATATCACTTATATAAAAAGTGATATCAGACAGGTGTCAATTTCAACAATCAAATGCAAAAACATGCAAATTTGGAAGCATCAATTTGAGCTTAAGACTATTTGATTGACTCATTGATATGTAAATTAAACTATATTGAGTGAATCAATGCAATAAATATTATATAATAAATGAATAGCAATAAAACATCCAAAGTTTTTCTAACAAAAAGCCATGCCACAAATTATTTCAGTTACAGAACCACGTTTCTGTAACTGAAATAATTTGTGGGCAATTTAGTGATGCTATTCAACTTTGAAATTTATCTCATTTTCCAAAAAAGTTTAAAACAAAGACATTTGAGTCAGATAAAAAAAGATTTCAGATAAAGAATGAAAGAACTTAAGGAACGAAAAAGTTAGAATTTGTAGTTTTATTTCTTTCATTCAATCCATTGAATTAAGCCATGAATTGACTGATTGATCTATAGTTCACACTGCAAACTTTTGACTTCTATTATTTTTAAGAAAATCAATTTCTATTTTTTTTTTTTCTAAAAACCCAACTCTTATAATAAGAGATCACCAATGATAATAACTTTCCATGCCAAGCGTATAATAATCTTAAAGCTGATATCTTGCTAAGAGGGATACTACTACTAATACTGAAAAACTTTTTTGTTGTTGTTAAATTCACCTATCGATTTCAGTTGACAAGGCTACTAAATTTTTTATTCAAAACTCTCAAATCTGAAAATGAATTAGGGTTAACGGTACAGCCTGATATCCCAACTTCTACAAACTCTCTTTAAGTAACCAAGTGACCAACTATAAGTGACCTCTTGGTGAAATGTATTAGAATTTAAAATAAGCATTTCTGTGATGGTTAATTTTGTAAGCATCAAATACTCTGATTCTTTCAAATTAAAAACAATGAATTAATCTTATTTACAACAACAACCTGATAATCTTTAAGTTCTACCTAAAATCTATGCAGAAGACACTAAACATCCAAAATTTGTTACTTAATTAATGATGTATTAATGGAAGTTAAGATTGTACTAAAATAATTAGTAATAAATAATAGAAGTAATGCACATTGTTCCTCAGGCATTTTATTTTATCGATCAGACAAACTTATTTATTGCAGAAAAATTGTTTAAACAAATTATTGACTGCAGAAAAAAGCACAACAATGATAGATTATAGATTATAATAATCTATAATTTATCATTGCTAAGGTAAACATTTAAGATTTCTATAGGGTTTGCCACACTTGGGGTTTTAAACCAAATCTTGTTATTTCCAAGAAATGTACAAAAATCAGAATTTAAGTTGAAACAAATAAAAATATATTTCATTAGAAAACATAAAATTCATCATGGGGCCTATATGTTTTAATCACTGTTAATGATGAAATCAATGAGTTTTACCTCAACCAAAATTAGTCTTACCTTTATGAAAATGAGACTTACCTGCAAATCATGGAAAATACCAAAAACCATCAAAATAAGTCTATTTTCCATGTAAACAAACAGAAAAATTGTCATACATAATAATTGTACTCACTTTTTTTTCAAGAAAGGCTTGTAAAGAATTAATGCGTTCTTCACTCATTTCATCAGAGCAATTTGTAACTTGAATTAATGGTGCAGTTTCAGGATAAGTTTCCACAAAATTGAACTGCAACTGTATAGAAACTAAATACGAAAAAAAAAGTAGATAGTACCTGTCCAAAACAGGTAATATATATTAATATAATATAATATATATATATATATATATATATATATATATATATATATATATATATATATATATATTTGTTGAATAAATATGTTCAACGAATATATATATCAGCCCTCGGAAATAGGGTCGGCAAGTCTAAAAGAGGTAGAGGTCGGCAAAAAATCGCCAACCTTAATTCTATATTTTATGGTAACCCCTTTGTGTCAAATTTTTTTTGCTGACTTTATGCTGACCTCTAACAGTTTGAGGTCAACAATAACTTGCTGACCTTATTTTTCTTAATTCAGAGGGTTGATATATATATATATATATATATATATATATATATATATATATATATATATATATATATATATATATATATATATATATATATATATATATATATATATATATATATATATATATATATAATCTATTTTTTTCAGAAAAGTCTGCTTTTACCCACTAAAAGTTTTTATATTTAATAAAATGACACTTAATTTAAAAATGTTTATGCAAGAATTTTGAACATTTAACAGGTCCCTCATATTATTAAAAAAAATAAAAAGTTTTTCAAAAGTATGTCATGTTGGGTTTCAAATAAAACCAAGTTTCAAAAAGAATTATTTTATATAAAAAATATTGAAAAAAGTTATTATAAAAAAATCCCATAAAAATAACATTTTTTATTTTTAGTTAAAAAATGTGATATGCAAAAAAATCTAAAATATTAATTTAACTATGAATGCAAAAAATATTAATATTATTATGGAAAAAAAATCTAAAATATTAATTTAGCTATGAATGAGTGTTTAGATAAGATCTCTGATGCCACACTGATATATATATATATATATATATATATATATATATATATATATATATATATATATATATATATATATATATATATATATATATATATATATATATATATATATATATATATATATATATAGCCCTGCAGGTGATTGAAATAGTTTTCTCATTTGAAATAGTAACTTCTCATTTGAGTTGTCCACTATGATAATTAGTAGTCTGGTATGGTTTTTTTTTGGTATTTTTGTCTTGGGTGAAAATACTGAAGAAAAAAATTTAAACGTCTGACTACTAAAATGCGTCTAATAAGAAGCGGTTTAATTAAATGTAAATTAATAAAAAAAAGTGAACTTTAAAAAAAATATTGTTATGTAAATTTAGTTTCAAAGAGATGTTGGTAAAGAGTTAACAATAAATAGAACTTTTAAAGATCGTCATTTTTGTTGTAATCAATATCTGTTTTGTGTAGTTTTTTTTTGTCAATCTTAACCAAGGTTTCATTACGTTAAGCAAAAAAGTTGAAAGCCAAAACCGCAAAAAAACGCAAAGAAAAATATTTTATTATTTTTTCTCAATCTTTAGCCAAATTTAATTTAGTTTAAATTAAAATTGGCTTAAAACATGTTTGGTTAAAAACATGTTTAAAACAATATGTTTTTAATGTTTTAATGTTTTTAATATTTTAAAAATATTTTCATTATACTAAGACTTGCTTTTTTTTTTTAGAAAAAAAAATTCATATAAAACTTGTTAAATTCTAAGAAAAAAGTGACAAAATTATATTTTTAAGCAAACATTTTCCTAAAATTGAATCTAAAGGTTTCTGAACATCTTTAAGAAAACTGAATGCATTTAATTCATTGTAAACCCATCAAACTCATCATCAAATGAAATAAGTCCTTGAAATCTTCCAGCTGTGCACAATTTCGGTTTTCCAAGCTTGCAGATGACATCCTCAAGTGTCTTGAAGAGTGCTTCTTCGTCTGTTTCCAAAAATCTTAAGCCATGGGAGGTCTTCTTGTAAAACTTTCCAATATATCCCTCTTCATCAAATTCTATAACTTTAACAACATACAAGCGAAACGAATTTTTTGTCTTTCCAATCACTTTTATAAGGGCAAAGTCCCCAAGTGAAAACTTTGAAAAATCATTTTCCTTCAAAGTTTTGTTTACCGATAAAAATGAATCTTCCTCTGAGAAGCTCTCCCTCCATTCTGCATCACTGTATTGGAGTGAATAGTCAGACTCTTCAGTAGTTGATTCATCAGGATCTTTAACATGTTTTAAATAGCAACAGAAAAAAGTGTGTTGCTATTCACCCCAGGTTTTGTTAAAACCATGTCTAACCTAAAAAATTTATTTTGTATAAATAAGTTATTATTATTTAGCTTAAAGTCATTCAAGTTTTGTTTGTAAGATACATCAAGTCACCTTTAAAACAATATGATAAGTTAATTGAAATAACAGTGTCATACTTACAGTCAGAGCTTTTGACGAACAAATTTTCTCAAAGATTTTCAGCGGCAAATCAATCAACAACAACAACCTCAAACAGGGATGCCAACATAATTAAATATAATTTCTCTAACAAAACAGGTAATTACCCATATTTCATAATGAAAATTCCCTTTGCATTTAAAAGGGATCATAAGTAGCAAATTTTCAAAATATTTATGAAGTTTTGTTGCAATTCACCCCTACTGTTGCTATACACCCCATTTTACGGTACTTTATTATGCTTGTAAAGTTTAGCTTCACTTTGAAGAATGTTTATCTTAATATGCTTTAACTCAGCAACTCCCCAGATTTAAGTTAATTGATTAAAAGCTTTTCTGTTAATATTTTCATTAAACAAATAATTTTTTATCAAAATTGTTTCCCTTTAATGTTTATTAATTTATAACAAATTTTGGTTAAATAGCAAAAGCAAAATTTTCTTTTTAAACATATTGAAAACAAAATAAATAAAAAATTAAAAATATGTTGATACAATTGTGTCTTTCTTCTTTTTTTACACCTTTTCCTTAGGTATCAGAATTTCTTGGTTTTCCAAAATGAATCAGTTTTCATGACATTTTAAAAACATTTTCTTTAAAAAAATAAGAAATATTAATGGCAAAAATACCAAAATAAACATTTTGAACGCTTTGTGATGCAGATTTAGAAAAATACACTTAGTTGTATTAGTTTATGATTTTGTAAACTATTTATTATTTCAAATATCAATAACACCTTGTTAGGTAATGGTAACAAATAAATATATAAAAAAAGTTTTGAGAAAAATTAGACTTAAAGCTATTAATAAAATACCATCAGTAAAATCATGTTAAAATTGAATTAAATTGAATAAAAATTGAAACAATTATAAATTGAATTTTTAAAAGTCTAACAGCTTGATTGGATTTTTGCTGTTAATTGCCCTGTATTACCATAGTCAAAGTATTAGTCTATTAATCTCAACTGGTTGTCTTAAATATGATTTAAATTTTTTTTGTTTACTTTTTAGCTTTTGTTCAAGAATTCTTTTCATTATTTTTATATAATTGTCATATATATCATTGAAATATACAACAATGTTAAATATTTCAGTAAAAATATTTGAATATTTTTCATTTATTATTAATTTTTTATATTATGACAAAAGATATTTTAATTTTAATTATAACATCTTGTTGTTGTGTTAATTCTTTAACAATCTTAGAAAGAAAGACATTTTGTAATTAAAATCTTTTTTGGTACCTTCTATTTGACATGTATATTTAATAACAATATCTATTTATTTCTTCTGATGAAAAATTGAATTTGGTTATTTAATTAAAGTTGATTTTGTTGTTTATAGATTTTTATTTTATATAAAGTTAAACATTCAGCTTTATAAAATTGGTCAACAGTAAATCTTTTATAACTGAATTTTCTTTTTTAGATTTCCTGTGAAAAGACATTTCCTGTGAAAAGACGCCAATATTTCTTGTACCATTAATAGCTTTTGTGAAACTTTTGTCTTTTTTAAAAACGATTTATTTTTCTAAGAATATCAATTTCAAGAAAAACATTCAGCTTATTTTTTCTCTTTTCTTTTCCAAATATTATATTGTCATTTTTTATCCTTTTATTGTTAACTCATATATATTTCATATTTACTTATATAAGTTTAATGTTAAATTTACTTATATAAGTAAATATGAAATATATATGAGTTAACAATAAAAACATATATATTTCATATTTACTTATATAAGTTTTAGTTAAAGTTACTAAAAATATACAAGATATTGGTTCATGAATGTACAAGAATTTTTATGGTATTGAAAATAAAAAATATTTTTACTATAATTGTATTAGTTCATAATATTGTTGCCAAGCAACTTGCTCTTAGTATTTCTTCCATATCAGCTTTTCTAAAAATACAGTTTCTACTGGAACTAGTAACTAGAGTGAACTTGTGGAACAGATAACTTATTCAGTATGTTTGTGTGAGCAATAAAACTTTAGCTGTCTTGAGGCAAGTTAAAAAATGCAGTCAAACTTTTTGGGTAAAGAAACTTAACTTCAATAACACCTTCTTTCAGGTCGTTGATGCTGACCCTCTAATTATCATCATAGACTATTGCTGCATAACCTCCCATGTTGCTTTTTTATTATATGTATATATATAATGTTTGTAAACTATTGCTTAGTTAGTGTCTGTACTACACCTCTTTGCATCAATCTTGCTAGTATTTATAAACTGATAAAAGCTCTAAGTAGCCAGTGGAGTTGACCACCATTTATTTTTTCATGTCATAATTCTTTTGTATAAAAGTCTCATCTTTTTATGTAAATGAAGTTAACATTTTAGATTTTCTTAAAACAAATTCAAACATGGCTTCTGATGTAACTATTTAGACTTGATTTTTTTTTGTACACAAAAGTTACATTATGTGTAATGTTGTCTGATACAAAGCAGCACAAACTGTTTTTATATCTTCCTCATCTTTATAAATCACTAATGAGTTTAAGAATATTGTTGCGTGTTCTACTGATAGCTCTGTATTTAATCTTAGGCAATAAAACAATAAATTTGTGATACTTGCATTATTGGTCACCAATAATTATATTGCTAAATTAATCCAATTTTTTTTTCCTCTAACCACTAAATAAGAATACAAAAAAGAGAGTTTAAGACTAAGAAAGCCTAAGACAGCCATTGCCAGATGATTTAAAAACTGAATGCATTAGGAAAAATAAAAACTAGAGTAAATTCAAAAGATGGGAAAAAAACCAGATGAGTAAAAGTTTGTTGAGCATAAAACAACAGTTACAGTAGTATGATGCAACTTAACTGAATGAAAAATCACACAAGATTAATTTCAGTTGATAAGACAAGTGATGATAGCTCATTTGAGTAGTGCTCATGGTAACATTTGCAGAAAAGAGAAAGAGATGCAACCTTATGATGAAAGGACAGAGGCTCAAGCTTTGCAGCAAAAACTTTGCAATAGATTAAATATGATTTCCATGAGAGGTCTTTCTCTCTCTCTCTCTCTCTCTCTCTCTCTCTCTATATATATATATATATATATATATATATATATATATATATATATATATATATATATATATATATATATATATATATATATATATATATATAGAGAGAGAGAGAGAGAGAGAGAGAGAAAGAGAGAGAGAGACCTCTCATGGAAATCATATTTAATCTATTGCAAAGTTTTTGCTGCAAAGCTTGAGCCTCTGTCCTTTCATCATAAGGTTGCATCTCTTTCTCTTTTCTGCAAATGTAACCATGAGCACTACTCAAATGAGCTATCATCACTTGTTTTATCAACTGAAATTAATCTTGTGTGATTTTTCATTCAGTTAAGTTGCATCAAACTACTGTAACTGTTGTTTTATATATATATATATATATATATATATATATATATATATATATATATATATATATATATATATATATATATATATATATATATATATATATTTAAACTTCGAAATAAAGCGCTTAAGTTAAACACTTTTATTTTATTTAGAATTTTTATGTTTTTCCAGAAATGAAAAAAATTTGTTTTTTCATTTTTATTTTTATTATTTTGTTTAATAATTATATAAAACATTTTTTGTTTTATTTTTTTAGCTGTATTAATTTTGTTTACTTAATTTAGATTTTAAATATAAAGTTGTTTTGCCATTCTTTTGTTTAATATTTTGTTATATAAAACTTTTTTTTTTTTTTTTGTCATTTTTTTTTAATGAATGTTATATTTTAAATAGAATTTAAAATTATATTGTTAAATAATTTATTTACACACATTGTTAGTGGTATTAAAGAATTAATTAACACACATTGTTAGTGGTATTGAACAATTAACACACATTTTTAGTGGTATTAAAAAAGCATGTTAAAACATAAATTTTCTTGATTATTCTGTTTAAAATAATATATACAAAAATTACATGACAATAAAATAAAAATACAACAAAACTAAATCTGCTAACTCTAAACTCTGAATCTTCAATGCTAAAAAACATTATTGGTATTTGTTTCTATAACAATTCATACTTGTTACTTTGTGCTCATCTCTTGTATCTGCATTTGAACCTTTCACACGAATAAGAAATACATAAGGTTTTCGTGATATGACTAAAAAAGATTTACTACATAATAAAGCCATCAATAAATTTGAGAAAGTAAATATATATTCATATATTTAAAAATCTTACTCTCTAATTCCTCCGAATAGATAGATTCAAGTGCTTCAATTTCAATATCTTGTTCATCTTGATGGTCCATAAATAAATTCTTTTATGAGAATACATTTATAGAATTATATATTCTTATATAAAGAAATAAATTAGAATCATAAATACTTACATAACTCATAAACAATACACCAAGTTTATTTCAAGTTTATTTGTAAACTTGACAGTATAAGTATAAAAATCATATTGCTATAATTTTTAAAGAAATTCAGTCATATTTTGTAAACAAAATTTAAAAAGATTAAAAATAAGAATTTAAACATTCTATTGTAACTTTCTTCTTCTCAACATTAGCTTTGACTACTTTGTATTCATTCAATCATTCAGTTAGTCATTGAAATCATATCTTAGCAAAATTAATATTTCTGTTATGTAACCGAAAAATAATATTAAGCAACTAAAATAAATAAAATATAAAAATTTAGTAACTGACTAGGGCCCAGGACTTGACTATGGCCTCAGCTTAACTAGACCTTTTCATTATAATTTTATTATTTTAAATCCTAATTGTTCTTCATAATTTGTATTTTTGAGTTAAAGAGTTGAAATACTATTGTAACAACAATAGATAAAAAAAAGCAAATTCTTCAACTATAGTGGCCGAATTTTTGGGAAATGCAGTAAAAAAAAAAATTATTGTCGGTTTACTCACTGGGACTAAATTTTTTGTTAGCTTTTAAATCAATTTTAGATATTCAAAAAACAATACAAAAAATATTTATAAAAAAAACAACTTTTATTTACAAATAAGAATATTTAATGAGAGCTTTCTTAAAAACTTGAAACTCTTTTTGATAATCTGAAAATCTCAAAATTTGTTCATAGTAAATGCAAGGATCATCCAAAATGCAAGGATCAGCTATATTTAAGCTTTCTTGAAAAATATACAAATAAATATCAATTTCTATCAATTTAAATGTTTTAACTACACTATTCAAAGAAATGTATACATTTACAAAATATTTTAAATGGATTTTATATATTTTTATTAGAAAAATTAGAAAAAATAAAAATTAGGATTATTTTAGGAAAAACATCTTTATTTACAGAATATTTTTTTATCAACAGCTTGAATCAGAGATTAACCAGTATTTTAAATAAGTTTTACTTTAAATAAGTAAACATATGTTTTATATATTATTGTATTTATATTTTAATCTTTTTAAAAGATATTAAATTAAATTTTATTGCATCAAAACTATAATGGTTAAATTAATTAAACTATTTGATCTGGCAAAATTGAAATTGAAGGATTGATAAATGCATCAACTTGCAACAAGCAGGATAAAAATAATTTTTTTATAAACTTTTAATAAACTAGACTTAGGAAAAAGTGGCAAAACTTGTTTTTATATATACAATATCAAATGATGATTTATTTAAAAAAATAAATATTGATGAATTATAGCTATACTACTATATAGTAGTAAATAGCTATACTATATACTATATAGTAGTATATAGCTATACTATATATATAAATAGCTATACTATATACAATATAGTAGTATATAGCTATACTATATTAGTATATAATATAAATAGCTTTAATACTATATAGAATATATATAGTATTATATATACTATATTATAGTTGCCTGTATTACTACTAAAAATGTAGTGCATTTACTAAAATATTTTAGTAAAAGCAAGTTTGTAAATGTAATATGTAGTAAATGATTAGTATTAATTTAATGCTCAACACATTTGAATATGATTCAACTAGAATATGATTGCAATGGTTAAACAAGAGTACAATATAATTAAACATATCATTTTATGAAAACAATTATATATAAAAAAATACAAGATAGAAAAGAAAATACAACTTGGAATCCTAGTTATTTAATTAATTCAATGAAACAATCCTAATAGGATTGTTTTATTGAATTAATAGCATAAGAAAATGATTATAGATTTTTATTTTCAAGAAATACACACGTGAATTGTGGACCACTAAAACTTTTAGTAAAACTCATCTAAAAGTGACTTTGTCACAAAGTCACTTTTATGTCTAAGCGGGTCTAAAAATGTCGATTACAACAATGTCCTGTATATTGTTAATCTCTTTTACCAGAAAAAAATTGCTCTTTCACATTTACATAAAAAACACGTGAAACTAATTTTCTTAAACATTTAGATCTTTTTATTTATTGTTAAACTTATTGAATGTTGTCGGGTAGGTACAATCGGCGGGGCGGGGCGGATCAGCGGGGCGGATCAGCGGGGCGGATTATTTTAACGGTACAAACGGCGGGGCGGATAATTTAAACATTTTAACATTTAACATTTTTAACATGTTAACATTTTATAATGCAAGTCATACTTTATTAAATAAAATAAAAAAACTTTTTTAATTTTTTTGTTTATTTGATAGATTCAGATATAGTTTAAGTTCATTTAAAAAATAATATTTAATTTTTTATTTATTTGCAAATTATAATTTTAATAAACGACGAAAAATATTATATAATTTTAAAATCATTTTTACAAAAAACAACGTGATCCGCCGATTTATATCAAGTGATCCGCCAAACTTTACAAAGTGATCCGCCTAATATTTTGATCGAATAAATCACTCTTAAAGTTTTAATAATTTTCCTATCAAAATACAACGTGATTCGCCATTTATATCAAGTTATCCGCCAACTTATTTATAGTGATACGCCTAAAATTTTGATTGCTAATATCAAACTCTTTAAATTTAAATGATTGTTTTGCGAAAAAATAACGTGATCCACCAATTTATATCAAGTGATCTGCCAAACTTTATATAGCGATCCGTCTTATATTTTGACTGCTTATATCAAACTTTTTAAGTTTTAATGATTGTTCAACCAAAAAACAACGTGATCCGCCAATTTATCCGCCATTTATCCAAATTTCTAATTTCAAATACCCAATCATTTATTTATAATATAAATAAATATGGATTGCGGATAAATGCAGATAATTGGCGGATAAATGGACATTACTATATAAAAGTTTGCGGATCACTTGATATAAATGGCGGATCACGTTGTTTTTTGGTAGGAAAATTATTAAAACTTTAAGAGTTTGACATAAGCAATCAAAATATTAGGCAGATTACTAAATAAAGTTTGGCGGATCACTTGATGTAAATTGGCGGATCACGTTGTTTTTTGGTAGAACAATCATTAAAACTTAAAGAGTTTGATATAAGCAATCAAAATATTAAGCTGACCACATCATAAAGTTTGGCGGATCACGTTGTTTCTAAGTAGAACAATTGGTAAAACGTAAAGAGTTTGATATAAGCAATCAAAATATTTGGCGGATTACTATATAAAGTTTTAGCGGATCACTTGATACAATTGGCGGATCAATTTTTATCAAGTGATAAAAATAATTTTAAAATTATATAATATTTTTCGTCGTTTATTAAAATTATAATTTGCAAATACCTTCCTAAAAATAATTTCTTTAATAAATTTAAACTATATCTGAATCTATCAAATAAACAAAAATATTAAAAAAGTTTTTTTTATTTTATTTAATGAAGTATGACTTGCATTATAAAATGTTAGCAACGTTTAAATTATCCGCCCCGCCATTTTTACCGTTAAAATGATCCGCCCCGCTGATCCGCCCCGCCGATTGTACCTACCCGTTGTCATGTTGTCAATGTTGTCAACTAGCGTTATCCTGATCGTTACAATTCATTTTGCTCTGTAGTTTGTTCACTGCGCACTGTCACATTGCTTCGCTCTCGAGTCCTAAATAAAAGGAGGGGGAACGTTTATTAATTTTTGGAAAGTTTTCCTTAATACCCCCCACCCCCTTGCGTTAAGTAATTTTTATTTATTAATAACAAGTTATTATCAACAAAAACTTTATATCTCAAAACTAAACTAAAAAATTCAGTGAAAATCGACATTAAAAATTAGAAAATAGTTACTTCAGTAACCGATTAAAATAAAAAATTTTAAAATTGTTGACCTATTAAATCTTGATTTGACAAAAATGAGCTTTTGGTTTATTTCGAAATAATTTATAATTTTGTGAGAAATTTCTCACCAAATTATAAAAGTTATACCAGCATACTAAACCCTATTGAAATTATGACAAAACAGCTGTTAAAAAACGCGCATTTGACCGCAAGCCACGCTTGAATTTAATAGTTTTATGCGTGTAAAAAACCTTAGTTTAGATTTATAAACTGAAATTTTTATAAAAAATACTTATATTGTAACATGAAAATCCCCCCCCCCCCCACCTTTCCTCTATTTATAAACCCCTTATCCCGTTTATTAGATCTGGACTAAAATTTCCACTTATCCTTTTATCATTCTCTCTTGTATTAAGGACTTGTTGGTGGTTCAAGAAATCTTTGAAATTTTAAAAATTGCTTTTCTACATTTGCAGTCCTGTATTGGTAAAAACTTACGGTGTTTTTTATGAAAAATCTTCTAGAGCAAATGAGTTATCACCAAATCAAGTAAAGTTAAAATGTAATTTAATTTTGAAAAAAAATTAAGTTCAACTTAAAAGTGCTAGTAATATTATTTCACAAGGCTTCAAGACAGTTTTCAAAGCATAAGTACTCAAGAAAAAAAATTCAGATTTGGAAACAAAACTGCATGTAAATTTAATTCCAAGAAGAAATTTTTGGATTTTCTTTAATTTTTTTTTACCATGACTAATTTTATCAAAAATTCTTGCTGTTGAAGTCCACAAGGCAGTGAACTAGCCTCTGTCTGTATTCTGGATGACCAATGGGGTGCTTTTATCTTGTTCAATGAGTACTAAAATGATGGTGCATGGCTTTTGTTGTCTGTTCACTATAAATTCCGAGAGAAGATTTGTTTTTAAAGACAAAGTCTTTTATGTGGAAAAAAACAGTGTGCACCTTGAGTGTCACACTCCCACATGGTAGAGCTAGAAAGGAGCTTCTTTCTGCAAAGCTTTCATCCAACTTATTGCCAAAACATGCTGACACAACTTCTCCAAATTTTCGAAAACTTTCAATAATTGGAAAGACCTGCAAGGCAGCATTTTTTCTGCCAGAATTTGCAAAATGTCGAGGTTTTTAAGCAGTTTATGACAATCATTTCCAACAAATTGTCCTCCATGAAAGGCCTAAGCTTTTA